TGTAGAGAGACCTCTACCCTAACAAATTCTTGATAGTGGGTGAATATTTTTTGATCATTTGAAGTAGCTTATCACTTTTTAAAAAGAATCTATCTTCCATTTTTCAGAGGTGAAAACCTTGATGCTGATTTGAAGGGAAGTTTCTCCTTTGGTGTTCATTGCTTTCCAAAGCTGATGAAGCTGTGAATAGGATGTAAATGAAGACAGAACCACATTAATTTGTTAGGAATGGGATTCCTGATTTAGCAAGCAAACTCCATCATCTTTGATGTGAAGGATCACATTGCAACAGCCGGATAAATAGGTTAACTGAGTATTCTGTAAAAGTGCTCTCTAAAGATGCAGGAGAACAGAGGTAAATTCATTACTCGGGGTTTATATTTGAAGCCTGCCACTGGCTTGACTGAAGACTATTGATTTGAGGAAGTTGGTCAGTAGGGATTTTATCTTTAGGACCTATGTATTTTAGAAACATGCTGCTTATTCTCTTAGGAGACCCATACTCAAAAGCTCTGGTGCATGTAAAACGGTGGGCTTGGCTCAGACCATATCAGATGCAATGAGACCACAAGTCTTTTTTGTGGAAATCGTATTCTGAACTCATGTAGAAGGGGTTGATATAGCTATTATGCTATTAAAAAAAATCAAAATAACCCCCAATCCAAGGACCAACCCACAAGAAACTGGGTGTGTTTACACATACATTTACTCCAGTCTAGATTTACTGTGCAGTAAACTACTCTGGAGTAAGGGTTTTGAGGTAGGTGTCTACGCATGCGGAGATTAGGAAGAAAATTTGCTCCTAGTTCCCTGCAGCCCTGCAATAGACCCTGACTGCCACTGTGGGGAGCTCCAGACTCTACCTGGGTGCTAGCCCAGGGGCTGGCAGGGAACACTGGGCCAGGAGACAGCTGTCTTCTGACCCCAGGGGGCTGTCTGCTGCTGGGTTGGGGACAATGTCCCTCTGCCTCCACAGTAAGGAGCTCCTGGCCCTGGCTCCCTGATCAGGGCCATAGGGCTTGGAAGGAGCTGCAGGGGAGGGGCACCTCCCAGCCCCTTGCCCCGATCTGCCAGTGGGGCAGCTAGCTTGCTACTAGCTGCCCCACTAGTGAATCGGAGCAGGGGGCTGGGAACTACCCCACCCCTGCAACTCTTTCCAAGCTCCATGCCTTGATCACCTGATCAGGGCACAGGGCTGGGACCTGCCCCTGACTGGGACAGTTCCCGGGCACTGTTGGGTGGCATGGGGAAGTCTGCATGTACAGCCTGGAGCTGCCTGGAGACTGCCCAAAACAGGACAGTCCCCAGCCACCTCCAGGCTGCACTGCATACAGTTTGGGGCTAGCTGGGAACTGTCCCAATCAGGGGCAGGTCCCAACTAGCTCCAGGCTGGGCAGGGAACTGTCCCTATGCAGGGAGATCCCAGCCCCTGCTCCATGATTGCAATTGTGATTGTGGAGTGGGGGCTGGGAACAAGCTCCAGGCCTGTTCCCACCCCCCACTCTGCTGTTGTAGACAAGCTCCCAGCCCCCTGTCTGTGATCAGGGAGTGGGGGCTGGAAGCTCCCTGCTGTTCCACCTGGGCACACAGCGCAGTGGCTGGGGAACTTGTTCCTCACCCATCTCCATTGAGTGCGGAGCTGCGGGGGAAAGGATAGGTTGGGGAACGAGTTCCTTGCCCAGCTCTGTGCTTATGGAACGGGAGCGCACCTCAGCAACAGGCAGCTCCTGGGGTCAGGGAGCTCTCTCCCACCCCCTTCTGGATGGCTGGCCAGGAGCAGATTTTGCTCCTGATTAGGCATCTACACAAGTGCTATGGTGCAGTTACTAATGCAGAGGAAAATTTGCTACTTGCATTTGCAGATAGCAAATGTTCTTGGTATTAGGAAGGTTTGCTGTGAAGTAAGCATGTGCACATGTAGATGCACATGCTTACTTTGCAGTAAACTATGCTAATGTGAAGTTAAGCATCTCATGTAGGTGCACCCTCTATGTAGGGAAATGTTTTTTAAAGTCAATCTGTTCTAGAAGGGTTTTTTTTTTTAAATGTATTTGGAATTTGGATTGGAAGCCAATTATAAGGGGATATAAAAATAGGAGAAATACATTTCCTCCCAGGATTAATCATCTAGGATTATTATTACTGTTTTTCTGTGTTCAAAATGAGTGTAAAGTAATTTACAGCTTATTTTCAAAACAGAGACCCCAAATGTGAAATATGTTCTTTTGAAACAGGGACTGATTGAATTCCCAGAGGGGAAAATCCTGTCTGTATCATGAAAATAATTAACTGCCCTTAGCCTTCCCCGGGAAGTGAAAAGGCACTAAAGAGGATGCTGAAAAGAGGGAGATGGTTTGTTTGAACAGGCAAGAACCCTGATCAGACCACGAGCCACAGTTGTACTTAATGCTAGTACTTACTGTTCACAGTACAACCTCAAGACGGAAATTGCTGTTTGCCATGAGAAGTGTTCTTGGCACTAGGACCATTGGTAATGTCAATAACCTATGAGTATATGACCTGCCACCTGCCCGCAGGGAGGAGCTCTGCTGATTTCTCTCTTTTGGTGGCCCAGCCTATTTTCCGGGACATCTTCCAAAAATAAAAAGCATCCGAGTCTACAGGACTCAGGTGTCCAATGCAACCTTCCTGTAGAAACCACCAACAGATTTAATCACAGAAAAGTGATTTGTGTTAGTGCCTTGGTCCAGGCATTTTCCTTAGGTTGAACAACAACTTCTGGGATCTTGATAGGTCTTTCTTAAAGGAAATCTTAATACATTTTTCCAAGCTCTCTTATCTCACCAAAATTAACCTATTAAACATGGAAAAGAGAAAGAAAGTATCCTCTGAGCCCATCTCTCTTCTGGGCTGTAGGCATGGCACACAGGATGAGGTTTAATTCCCACTGAGAAGACTCACCCAACACATAAGTGAAAACCTCCTCTGAAAATAATTACCTTGTTTACAGCAGCTGAAAACTGATAAGAAGCAAACTAGAGGCACTGTTGCTACTTTGAATTCTCACTTTCTAGGATTTTAATTCACCTGTGGGGTGAGTGAGCAGTAAGGAAGGAATGATGGGTGGAAGTGCATCTGTGTTTACAGGGTGGGGGAAGAAAGCACCTTTCCAAATGTCTCTCTGAAGCAGGGCCAGACACAGGCATGGGTGAACTGGGAGGCTGCCCGGGGCCCTGAAAAGGATAACTATTTTGTCTGATTATCATTATTATTATCATTATCTCTGGTGAAGGTGGGGGGCGATACTAAAAGTTTGCTCAGGACTGCCAGGAGTCTAGGTATAGTGCTGCTCTGAAGCAGCCTGTCTTTTCTCCTTGTCTGTCCTCTGCACCTGAGGGGGGCAGATCAGGATTAGCAGAAAAGCACTGACGCCAGCCCCCCTGCAGGGGTTTCTGCCTAAGGAGGAGAGAAATTAATTCATCTTCCATCCTAGGTGTCTAGTTTTATCAGCATCTTGAGAGGAGATCTGTCTGGAGCTGGGACCGTGCTAAGCTACTAGACCATCTCTAGGGGGGGGAAAAACATCTTTCAAAGAATTTTCTTTCTCGTGCGCGCGTGTGTGTGTGTGTGTGTGTGTATGAGAAGATTCTTTACATTATCTGTGTGTAAGTATGTATATGTGTGTGTGTGTATAAATGTACATATATGAGGGAGGATTCTCCACATTTTTGATGTGTGTGGGTATGTATATATGTATGTATATGTGTATTTATATGTATGTGTGCTTATATATATGTGTGTGTGTGTATGTGTGTGTGGATTCTTTACATTCTGCATGTATAGGTGTGTGTATGTATATATAATGTGTATATATATCTATATATAACGTGTATATATATGTATGTATAGATATGCATACATGACAGGATTTTGTACATTCTGAATGTGTGTTTCTATACATTTCATCAGTATAATGCACACATAACCCATTATTAGATAATATGCATTACATATGTAATGTTATATGATATAAACAAATATAAAATATAAACAACATATACTATAAATATTTTAAATAAATATAATAGATAAACAAAAATATAAAGTCTATATAGTATATATCCAGTACACAACTATATATAAATGTGTGTGTATATATATATATGTGTGTGTGTGTGTGTGTATGTATGTATGTGTACATATATGTGTAGATGTATGTAAATATATGGATGTATATATCTACGTACATATATACAGTATACATATATAGTATAGATGTGTATAGTATATATGTGTATACATATATCTATATACATATGCATGCTGTAACATACACATAGTTATATCCAGGGGTGTAGGCTGTAGCCGTGTTGATCAAAGGACATAGGGAGACAAAGTTCTTTGGGTAAATCCGTTAGCTTTTATTAGACCAACTAAATAGTTGGAAAAATTCTTCTTAGCAAGCTAAACCTGAAGGCTTACAAAGAAGAATTTTTCCACCTATTTGAGTTGGTCTAATAAATCACATTTACCCAAAGAACCTTGGCTACATACATACATACATATGTAATATATATGCATATAGTATATATATATATGTACATATCTGTCTGCATATAGTATAGGTGTGTGTGTGTGTATAGACACACATATACATATATCTATGTACATAGTGTATACTATATATCTGTATACATATATACACTATATATAGATGTATGTATATGTGTATATATACACACATCTATACTAGATATAGATATGCATGTATCTAGATACATACAGTATATACACACTATATATAGATGTATGTTATCTACGCATAAGTGTAGATGTGTGTATCTCTACAGGCATGTACACATATGCACACACACGTACATGAGTGTATGCGTGCGTACGTGCCCCGGCAGGTGCGGTCCCAGGCGGGCGCGGGCC